CCAACGGGTTCAACTAATAGACCGCGAAGATACTACAGGATCCATCACATTCTACATAGCTCCAAGACATTCCCCCCCCAGTTTAGCCTACCCCGCGCTCGCACCCACCACGTGGCTATTACGCATTGAACGAATAACACTATGGATCAACTCCCGGTTAGCCCACTCTGGACAACCTGGCTCTCCCCGCACCTCTGGCCCCACCCTGGTCGCCCTGGGCCCTCTCTTACGCACATAAATCGGAACCAACCGACTACGCACTAATGCCGGACCCCTGGTCCCTAAACACTATGGCACAACTGGTTATCACTATGCGCGCCACCACTCGCGCTCTACCGCATCAGGAAACCCCGAGGTGCGCGTAACGCCCATTCCTCCCTGTGCCCGCTCAATCAGCCCGCCCGCTCCTCAAAGTCTATCCGCCCCCCGTCCTCCCAAAGCCAACCGTCCGCTCCTCGTCGCGTCGCCGCAGCTCAGCACCGCTCAGTCCCACCCCCTCATCTGCTCGCGCCTCACGCACCGCCTCAGTCAAGTCATACCCAACTTCTGCCTGAAACTCAAGCCCACCCAGCTTCACACCCACACTCTTCCCCCTCGCCTCCACCTACCCCAGCCCGCTGCTTCCTGAAACTGGATTCCCCAAACCACACTCATGATCAATTCTCTACACGACCACCACACCAGTACACACTCTCCTTCGCAACCCCTTCTAGACTGATGAACATCATCCCTTAGATCCCTCTCTACCCCGCCTCGACCCTCGCCAGGACAACATAGCTAGGCTCATCAAAGTCTGTTCAAAAGGCAGAATTCAAGCGTAACCACATCAATATGGCCATTTGACCATTACACTATTTCCATTTCAACATTTCTGTTACACTAGAACCGCAACAGATCAGCACCATACCACTACCGATACCATCAATTTCTCAAATCAATTTCCCCTCTCGTTCCTCCTTCCAATCTATCCCCTTCTCACCCCCCACCTACTACCGCAAGCGTTCTACACCACTCAGTTATTGGGTTAATTAGAAATTGCCTTCAGTTTAGTCCATCATAACAGATCAAAAAGTTATCAACTAACGCATTCATTTTACAATAATCAAAGATGCCTGCCACTTCTACCAACCCAAAACAAATAATTACAAACATTTAAACAACTACTAAAGTAATGACTACATTATTCAAAAGTTTACAGTAACTTCTGATAATAACACAGGGGAAATAAACGAGGCATCTCTTTTCCTCTCTCTCTCTCCCTCTCCTGACAAGCCCGTCAGTATCGGGGTTAGTCAAAATGAGTCCCTTGGCGATTCTAATGTTAATTAACGGTTTTGTCTTCTCTTTGCAACGTTTAATCGATTTGAAACCAAGTCTAACGTAGCTTAAACTTAACGTTGGCTTTCTAGCTAACACAACACATGCACGTAGCCTACCTTTCTCTGTGGATTTTTCTGTAATGACGAATGAAGTTGGATGTTGTGGTGGTCGTGTCACTGATATTTATGCTGCAGACCCTGCATACCGCTGTTCTTTTCTTATTAGCGTCATCAACAAAATAATCCTTGAATCCGAACTTCACTATTTTTGGAGTAACGCTAGCCGCTGCCATGTTAACTGGCACTCCTGCCTACTAGTGGGTTGCCAGGTTTGCACGCGTTGGCGCTATAATCACCCAATCACATTTCAAAACAACTAAACGTAATACGCAAATATTTAATTAAAAAAAGTCCTTTCAAGTCATCTGTCTCAAGCATAAGTCAAGTCTCAAGTCATGAATACCAAGTCAAGTCTTTTATCAATGTTAGTCAAGCAAGTCTCAAGTCCAAAAATATGCGAGTCAAGTCATGTGACTCGAGTCCCCACCTCTGTGGACAACTGGTTAGCACTATGGACAACTGGTTAGCACTATGGACAACTGGTTACAACTATGGACAAGCGTTACGTGATGCCACCTCGGCATCATTTCACCAGATCTGTACTGCCTGCCCTATATGACAAATGACGTGGGGAAGTTGAAAAATATGTGGCTTCAGCTGAATACTTTGCAGTTGAATTATACTTAAAGTTCAGAGTAATCAACTGTTAAAAATATATTGTTCAAATGATTATTTAAATTTTTTTTTTTTAAAGTCAATGAATAATCTTATTTAATAATAGTGATATTATTATTTACCAAAATAATCGTGATTTTGCCATAATCGAGCAGCCCTAGTCCTGAGGAGCAGCCGGTTCCTTACGGTAACAAACGGGGTCCAGAGGTGATGAAGGCGATGTGTCAGAAGAGGGCGCTGGAGGACTCTGACGGAACAGCTGACCAGCTCTCCAAAAACAAGCAGAAGAAGAAATCCCGAAACCCCAACAAGAACTTCTGTGTCGAGCAGAAACGTGAGTCATGCTCTCTAACATCAAACTGAAGAAATGCTTGAAGGCCACAGAACGTCAAATGAAATGTCCTTCTGTTCTCTTACAGCCAAGTATGTCAAGTGTGAGCAGTGTGGGAACCCAAAGGTCAGTGTGTAATGTCAATAAGGACACCAAGCTGTCCTGAAGAACTGTGTTAAAACACAATACCAGTGCATCAGAAGACATTTGCATCCTGACGCTCTGTGTTGTGCTCTACAGGGGAACAAATGTGTGTTCAACCTGTGTCGAGCCTGCTGCAAGAAGAAAGCCTACAAGGAGGTGGCAGACTGTCCAAGTGAGTGTTCTGCTTTATTCAGATTAGGCGCTTTCACACCGGAGTACTTTTCCCCGTGCTTTTCCCTTTTAGTTCCGATAGTTCCTGGGATTTTGATTTCACACCAAAAAGAGAACTTAGTTCATGAGAACTTTTCCCCCCTTTTCAGTCCCTGCTAGAGAGCAGGTACTTTCCTGTGGAGAAAAAAGTTCCAATTTCTGATGGGCTGGGTGAATTGCAAACCACGCCCCGCAAAACTCTGAAAAGTTTTGTGAAGCCGCCATTGTATTTTCTGGCATAAGCATTATTAGAATTAGCATTAGCGTGCTAAGGGAGGGAGCAGAGGAGAAAAGGGAGAAAAGGAGCGGCAAGTGGAAGGGCAAGAGGAGTCCGAAGGACAAAGAGACGACAACGCAAGATTATGGAGTCGGGCACCGGAACACTTCGGTTTTACAAACCTTAAATAAATGTGTCATCATATATGTGTGTTCGTCCCAGAGCCCTCAATACACCCCCTCGGTTACCCTCGACTCCGAAGGGCTATTTCCCTCCCAGACTGGGAGGGTGCCCCTGCGTCAACTTTAGTATGTAAGAAAAAAACCCCCAGCGATGATGTAAATGGTTGTTGGTAATAAATTAGTGTTTATTACCTACACAGTTAACGATTACTCATAATAAATGCCAATTGCTCCATTTATCCATTTTCTTTTTGTTCAAAAGGGTTTTCTTGTTGCGTAGAGAACTTACTGTTAATACGGAACGCGGACGTGGAGGTTCGCACGCTATTCTATGTAATACGTGTAAGATTTGTGTATGCCAAACCTCGTTCGAGAGACTAACCAGTTATCCGGCGGCAAACTAAGTGCTAGTTTGTCTGCCTAGGTTATCTTGCACGGATTAGTGTTTCATAGGTCTACCGGATGTGCGGATCCTGGATGGCTTTGATGAAAGGCTACGTCGGATGTAGCACACCAACGGTATCGCTGTAAATTCGCTGTGTGTCGGGCGGAATGTGACAATATGTAACAGAGAGCAACCTTTAGTCATCGATGTTTTTACAAGTCTAAAATTTCGTAATTAAAACTAAACAAACCCCGGAGTCCATAACCTACTTACCAAAGCTGAGCGTGTGGGTCGGTGTTTTGGTTACTTTTCTAAACGGCCGACAAAAGTTGACTGCCTCGAACTCACGCCAAACGCTTTTTCCAGCGTTTGCTTTTCTCATGTAACCGCAAAGTTGGATGGACCCGACATTTACAGAGTTTCGCAAGAATTTTTGGGTCGTCTTTTAACACCTAAAGCGCTTGTCACCAGGTTTGGCGCTCGACTTGTCAATGACATGATAGCGGATGGGTTAAACCTGTGATGAAAGGAGTCCTTGATGAAGAGACTGCCGCTGCTAGATTGGAGTTCCGGGTCTTTCGCAGATCCGACAAACCTTCGGTTTAATCGGGTTGTAATACTTTTAATAAAAATGCGTATAACAACTAATGTTCTATCAAACAACATTATCTTAGCGGGTTAGTATGTAGAACTGCGGACGAAGAAACTTGCAGTAAATTAGCGCAACGTGCCTGTCGGATGACGGCCGGCTCTGGCTCCGGCGAACGCGGCTCAGCTCCCCAGGGCACATACTAACGACGATGCTACGTAACGGGAATTTAGATACGGACGACTCGCGCCGACACGGCTCGGCTCTACCTACACACACCACCCGCATCACTTGGAAAGTATAAAATTACAAACGATCCGGTCATCCTCCTCGACGACGACACCACACCACACATCATCACACACGGGTCCGGGGCCTGACCGGTAGTCCCCTCCCTGCCCTCCAAAGGGCACCGCGCTCGCGCCGCCTACTCCCTCGCCGCACGGCGTGGGGGCCAATGAAAATACTAACAACAATCGTAGACCACGGATCGAATTCGTTGCGATTTACCTAACATCCGCTCTACCAAAGGTTTGGTTGTTGTTCCCACCCTCCCCTCTCGAGAGATGACAGTCTGGACTCTCCGGGGAGACTTTGATGTCCCGAGTCGCACTCCAAATTCCTGAGAGCTGCCGACACGATCTATCGAATTGAAGTCCAGATTCATATAGAGTCGACCCAGAAGTTTACCCCCCAAACGCAGTGGTAAATACGATTTGGTGTATAAAGGTAAACCCTCGCCTCCTCACTAATCATTTATACGTACTTATTCTTCGTTTCTTTTACATTTTGAATCCACTTTTTTCCATTCGTATGTGAAAATTTCATAAACGGACCGACGGGAGTTTCTCTCCGTCGTCCTCTCCTCCTTCTTGTGCCCACTCCGACCAAGGGTCCTCGGGGTCTGTGAGAGCGTTGAAATTTACTTGGGCTTTTTATTTATTTATTTATTCAAAGTTACCCTAACAAAAAAATTTATACCAATACCCGGTACACGGAAGTACTAAAATACTTAATAAATTTACATCCCGCTCAGCCGGACAAAAAGGATTGGGTTCCGAGACCAAGGTACTTGTGTTGTGCTCGAATTGCACAGTATATTGTCATCGGCATATACCAGAGCAAACTGTCTCCCATGACGTCAAGACTGACTCTCCCGTGGTCCTTGCGAGCCAGGAGTCGGTAAGTGTTTAACGGCATCATGGGTAATTCCTCGGACATGTGTACGTGTCAAAAACGCGCACGACACGAGAAATCCAACATTCCCGGGTCACCGCTTAGACAAGTTAAGGTCGTCAGGTTATTGGGAAACACAATCTATAATCGTAGACCATATCGATCGTACGATTGCTTATATTACCTTACGAAAAAGATGTTGGTCACTCCATTTCCGGTGTAGGAAATATACTAGTAATATCACAATATTGAATTTTTTATTTCGTCTTTATTTCCATTTTAGTCTACATTTTATGATAGTTACTGTCATTTTCTTTCATACAATAATTTTTGTTCTTATATAATCAAAAACCTTGTTCACCCTCCTAAACATTTTTATAGGTATTTCTTTTTTTTACTTAGACGATGTCAAGACAGAAGTATACGCCACCACTCTCTACATAGGTATCTAGAGAAGTAAAACCGAGAGTTTCATCACGTGGGTCTAAACTACGAAAATTGAAGTTGTAAAATTACGCTACGGGGTGGCCTGGAGGGGATATCTCCCTTCATCCAGGAAGGGGTGAATTTAGTCCTGTTTGATTTATGTACACGGTGTGTGTAACACAGGTAAGTATAGAAGCCAACCAAACCAACCGCAGTAGTACAAACGGTGTGTCACGTGCAGTTACGTACAGAGAGCTACAGTACCATTTCTATAGCCTAATTCTCCACCAGAAAAAGAAACGTGTGTCCGTTACTTTCTTTCGCTTTAATTTACCCGGACAACTAAATCATAAAAATTCGTCCATGTATTTAACATGCCGGGAAAACTCCTACAACTTTTTTAACATATACCCGGGAACCTCTCACTTTTTTTCCCAAGGGGTGAGGGAGACAAAATCCCGTTACCCAACCTTATGAGAATGTCTTAATTGCTATTATATTTTTGGTTAATGTTATGATTATGAGATTACATATACACCTCGGACAATTTGACATTCGGATACTCTCCGGTCGAAAATACACTGAAAAACTAAAAGTGTGTCATATACGTAGAAAAGCCAATGTTTTGGTGCGTACTATTGGAGGTATAATAGTCTATGTAATCGGCGCGAAAGTGTGGTTAATGAAACGGCATGAATCAAGGGTCGTGAATCAAGGGGGTACCTTGATTTCTCGTCTAGCGCAAGTGTGGGCCTCATGAAAAGGGACTCCCTTCTAATGTGTTTACTTCGGCAACTGCAGTGAAAGAAGAAAGAAACCCATATGACCGTCCGCATTTGTTGACACAAAAAAAAGACACCAACAGTATTCAATGTCAGAGAGAGGCAANTTTTCCTAACTGTGTCTGTGCACAAAGAAATACTGCATCAAAGCCAATACTGTGTGTGTGTGTGTGTGTGTGTGTGTGTGTGTGTGTGTGTGTGTGTGTGTGCACACACACACACACACACACACACACACACACACACACACACACACACACAGTATTGGCTTTGATGCAGTATTTCTTTGTGCACAGACACAGTTAGGAAAACAATGAGACAGTGTCATATGGGAGCACCTTAGACAGGAGAAATGCTGTGACCCTGCTGAAGGGGAGCCAGGGCAGGAGGCTTAACATGTTGATGTAAAGTATTTGTGTTGTACTCCTGTTATCACTTTAGAGCCCTTTTAGAACTTATAGGGTTATCATTTCAGCGCCCCACTCTCCATTGCTGTTTATGTTGAAAATAAAACTAAACTTTTCATAACCACAATATTTTAACTGGTTTAAATGCAGAAACTGGGCTTATACATCAGAATTTCGTATGACTAGACTTGTGACTTGCTTGACCTGAGCAATGACTTGACTTGCTTGACTCTCATCAAAGTGACTTGGGACTTGCTTGAGACTTGTAGGTCAAGACTTGAGACTTGCTCATCACTTGCACATGTAGGACTTACTCCCACCTCTGCTAAAGGCTGCTCCTGTTTTTTCTTTCTTCCCAATCTTTGAATCATTAGTCAGGGTGTCTCATTCTCAGAAAGTGCCGAGAACTTTAATGAAATGTCTTCTTGGCAATGTTTGCTTTAGAGATTACGAATGTCCTCTGAGACCTCATAATTAAACCGCATTAAAGTCAGACTATGACTAACTTCCTTGTAGAGTTTAATTAAAAGACTTTCTGTCGCCTACTGGGTATTTGCATTGTAAAAAAGTAACATGAAAATGAAATAATAGGCTTGAATTTGAGACCGTTATTATATATGACACACTTGTCTTCTCTTATTTCACTCCATGCTACATTACTGAGATGAAGCTGGCCTGTGCACCACCCACCTTGTCCCGCACTGTTGGCGACTGTGATCCACTCCAGAGACACGCAGAACCCGCTCCCCTTGGTTTCCTGCGGCTCCTTCTGGATGCGGAGCAGCAGCACCTCCATGGAGTGGACTCCCTCCTGGACATGAGAGATGCTGTGGAGGAGGCTGAAAGGCTCCCCCGTGTCCTCAAGGAACAGCGGCTGCCAGGACAGAACCAACACACAACAAATCAGGGTCTCATTTCCCAAGTTGGAAAAGCTGTTCTTCAGCGTTATCATGAGCAAAGACAATGTGTTATTAAGGATTATTTGATATGAACATCAGGTTTCATTTCTGTCCCCAGATTCAGAATTAAACATGGGGAAGCAGCGTTCATTTATTATGCTTTATATATCTGGAACAGACTCCAATGCTTTTATTAAATCAAATAACTATTCATATTTGACAATGCATTGTAACATTTATTCTTGTTTGTTGCCTGTTTTATTCCATTTGAGCTTGTTTTTTTTGTATGTTCTTGGTTTCCTAATGACCTTTTAAAAAGGAGTTTCTGTCACGCTATATCTTAATGCTATAAATCAAATGTTTGTCTCATTTTGAAATCTGATATATAAATAAAAATAAATCTTTCCTTGCCTTACAGCTCACACCATTTTAACAGTTTGATTCCACTCTCCCTTAAAAACATACATTTGCTATTAAAGTATTTAATGAATAAAGAGCACTCCTTATTATTGACCCTGACCAAAAAGTGTTATGGTCTTCATTGCACTTCATAGGATATTTGTATTTATTTCATCAATAAAACGCTAATTGAATGTAGTATTTCTACACCAATGTTTATATTTGCCTTTTTGAAGATATATGAAACTTCAAATTAGATCGTTGGAAATTACTGACCCCGAGGGTTTGAATGTTCATTATAAACTCCTCTCTTGAACTTTGCTTTCAGAATTGCGTCTGGTGGGCTTCAACTCTCATTTCTAGCCAATCCAAACCTCCGCTGTTAACAGGATAAAGTGCACAAAGACTCGTCTGATGAAAGACTTGATCCCTCACAGCTACAAGCCAATTTCCTAAAGACTGGCTTAGCTTTATAAACGCAGGAGCTGGTTCTAAAGCTTGAATTTGCATAGCAGTTCAAAATTAAAAAATGCTTCTTTTGACAAGTTGTTATGTTGAATAAAAATACGTTTTATTATACCACAGCCAATTTAAAGGCTATAATCCCACTCAGTTCCAGACGACTGCTGGTTTTTTATTGTATCGCATACAGTAATTGAAATATTAATTTGTTATCCTCGTAGTCTTGGAATAGGAATATATAGCACACGCAAGATTAAAGAATGAAGCTGGGCTCACAATGTTGTATATTCTTCTTATGAGAGTCAACACTACGTGTTAGTTTGTCTCTCTTTCTGACTTCCTCACCCTTTCACCAAATGCTACTCAATATTTGAAGCCACGGATAGGTAAACATGTCAGTATTGTGACAACCCTGTGGTTGTCCATTGTATGGTGCTGTTGAAACCTGAGTTTTATTCTTGCAGAGAGTCTGGAGGTGGGGTCAGGTCCTGTAATCAGGAGAGATGAGACCCACCTGTGGCCCCTGGTTCCAGACTATTTAAGAGGGCTGCAGAACAGTCCCAAGCTGCTTCTCGATGTCAAGGAAGGATCCTTCAGAGCCTCTCTTTCAAGGATGCTACGTCATCGAATCCCGCCGAAGGACTGTTCCAATGTACAGGATCCTTGGAATTCTACCGAGGACTGAATCCTTCGTTGCAGAAAATGTCAAGACTGCTTATGTGTATCCTCGGCGGTCTTAAATGACCCACAATTCTTTACGCACGGACCAATTTCCAAAATCTTAGGCGGAAAATGGCTGACTCTGTGCAGTACACATTTAAATGTAAGTATGTTCAGTGGCGTAGTAAATGTGTTGGTAAATATGTTACTTTGTTAAATTTGTTATCACCATAAATGTGTTCAGTGAAAGTAAAGCAAGTTATTAATTAGCTAGGTACATCGTGAGGTTGGCTAATTATTGGCTAATTATAGATGCATATGACCCACACCTGCACACTTGCTAGCCTGTTCCATTCTTTGTTCTCCGAATGCTAGGAAGGATTCATGCCTAGCCTCTGAAGGACCTGACTNAAATATTTCACATCAAAAGAAACAACAATGTTTTAACAAATCGTATTAAATAATCTGATGACATAGTTGTAAACAGAATAGCTGAAACTTTAACAAAATAAATAACTCGGTTACCTCTAATCATTAACCCATGTTTGTATCATTTTGTTAACTCTGTGTGTTGCTGACGTGGAAACGTTACTCGTGGATGGGGATAAACTAAAAAGACAGTCGAACCCGGTGCATTCTTCTTCAGTCTGAATGTGGTGCACTTTTGCTAAATGTTTAGACAAATTGCTCGTGTTACCGCCCTTACATGCTAAGCTCTTATTGCACTTTTGGCAAGGAGCATTGTCCACATCGAGACGGGTAACATTTAACCACACCTTGGAGCGCTTCTCTCCGCCATCCCCGCCGTGTGTTGCTGCATGTAGCAGCTGCGTGTGTGTAAACTGCCTCGCCCCCCCTTGTCTTTTTGCATATTAGAAACGAGTTGCCGACACTAAGACTGCGATATAATGTTTATGTAGCAATAACACATATGACATATATTTCTTAAATGTCTCCAGTGTGCATCTCGTGTGAGTTGAGCAACTATCCGGGATCGGGTTGGAGAATTGTTCCATGCAGATTGGTAAAGCGCACTTTAGTCGAGATTCGCTGTCTGGAGTTTATACTGTTATGAGAATCTGAAGTTTTCTTTTGGGTCGTAACGTTCGATAGAAGAATAAAATATAGAGACTTATTTATAGTAAGAGACACTTACATTAGTTTTTCCGACAGCTGTTACTATACCTGGCCAGTATCTCTAATTTGAATTCTTACAACCGCAAGTATATGTTCTCTTAAGATAGCAACATCTAATTAGTTGTAGTGGATGTAGAGATGCTATAAGCTTCTCAAACACAAAAGTTGTAGATCTTTTCCTATGCTCTCAACGTAGAAGCTGTCCTAAGTAGCAGGTGCTATGCCCTTCTGACGCAAGGTATACCGTGGTAGAGCGTGTCGTGCTCTAGTCGGGGCCTTCACGCGCCTGAGCACTCTGTTATCTATCAGCGAGTCGGTTTGCCGCCATGACTGAGCAAACCAAACGGACGGCCTTTGTGAAAAGTGTAACTGAATTGGTACACTTTCTTCCAGAATTTAGCAACCTTTACAAAATGTATTTTGATGGGTCATACTTTGAACTATCGGAAATATTTTGTAAGAGGTTGCAGCGCTGCTCGCCGTTAGTCTTTCTCTCGGCTCGCGCAAGAGTCAAATTTTTACACGTTATTTGCATAGACTCTAATAAAGGGAGACGGAGTGCTTGCAGTAACTCCTTCGATTGGATGTCTACTTCTCTCTGAGTCGGTACAAACTACGTATGACGTGCACCTCTACCAACCTGCTCGTTTAGCGCGTCTAATACTATCCGGATGTACATATTCGCGGCGGGCGTGAAGTCACTACCTGCCAAGCTTCGTTTAGGGTTTATACAGCCGACTTGTAATGGGGGATGACACTAGACCTGTATGTCTTGCCTGGGTCTTCACGCTAGATATGACAGAATTTCGGTCGTGCCTGCGAAAATTTTCTTACTCTTATTTGATAAACGTTGCACCAAACGGCATAGTCAGTAACCCGTATTTATCTAAATATTGTGTACCGACATCATGCTCAATGTACTCAAACTCGATATGATAATCTTTGCCTCGATGATAATCATCTCTCTTATGATCTGGATGTTACCTCGGCACTAGCATTCTATTGGTAGGAAATCGGGATTACTCGCCGTCGTATGTCTTTTGGAGTGACCGGACTAATATGTGGCGGATGAGACGGACAGTAGTAAGTCGTAGTCGAGTACGGTTGCCTCCCGTGCACTAGTTTCAGGCAATGTAGCAGGGCGGTCCCTTGTTGGGAGGTGCGAGACTGAACTCTGGTGAGGGGGCACTATTTTTTAATTACTATGTACTTCGGTCGACGTTCCTAGTAACTACGGTGGTCCCAACGTTCCCCCAAGTGTGGCCTCAGTACTTTATATAGTAGCACTATGTCCATAAGCTCCTGACCCTCACGTTCGCTTGAAACGCACATTACTCTCTTGGAACTTACATAGAAATAAGGCCGCCGATACATAAAAGTAAGGGAGACGGATTTTCTCGTGTCGATGTAATCATCGGTCACAAGGTTGTAGTGTTAACTACGTATAGGTGTAGTTTTTGATAAAAAATTATATATGCATACGGCATTAGATATTGTTTAGTGGCACGTTCCCTTCTAGGTGCTGGTGCAGTAGACTAATTAGGATGTTAAATTAGATTAAGTTTAAACCATTGAGTTTGTGATCTATGCATCCAGCGGTTAACTGTACTTTAGTGACTGTTATTTATATCTTCGTTGTCAGTATACGGTTTTTACGTACAATGTAAAAAGTTCGATTCTATTGTTTAAGTATATTATGACACTCAAGTAGCCACGATGTTGATCATTAGGATTTATAAAAGACTACAAAGTTACCTCGTTATCTTTTGGGTTTCCATTAGATTATTATCATGAAATATACTATTTTGAGTGGAAGCAAATATTTCTAAAAACATTGATTTCTGTTGGTTCATTATAATGAATGGATCAATATTACGAAGCTTTCGCGCAATATGTGGGTTGAGACCGGAAACAAGCCACCGCAACCGTACGCAGTCGGCGCGTGGAATGGCGAGGAGGACACGGCGACTTTCGGCGGAGAGCACAGGGAAAACAGGTGACAAGAGTACTAACTCGTGACAACCACCTTAAATGACTTCTCAAACTTGCTCACGACTCAGTGGAGTATTCTTACAATACCGTTCAATAGTGTCATCTAACGTGTATGAGGTCAACCTTCTCGTTCCAGCTAACAGGGCAAACTTATAACCCGAAAGGGAACCACTTTTTTTTACCTCCCTCGATGACTGTGGTTAAGGTTCGTGGTGTTTCCAGAATGTAGACTCTAGGAAGTACGGGGACGGTTGGGACACTAACCAGGTCGCAGTCCTGAGTGTCACGTTACGTATGTTTTTGGTCCTCCGCCTGAGCCGAGAGGATAGAGGCCGGGAGACGAGTGAGATGTAGTTGGTAGCGTAGTATGGAATCACGGATCGTTCCCACTGGACGCAAGCGAGTTGCGCCTCGTGTCGATCAAGCGCACGGCGGTGCCGGGTCGCAAAAGAGTGGGCCCCGAGAGCGGCTGTTTTATCGTTACCCTATAGAACCCTCATGAGGGTGATGCCTAGTAAACCCTCCTTCGTTTGTGATACCTCTTGCAGCGTACGCGAGAGGAGTCCTACCTGTACCTTTTCGCTGGGACAATTTATATTAACCGGGTGACCGAACAACAATATCTAGAGTCTTTGCCTATCTATAATTATGTGAAGATTTGTTATTTCCGCCTAATACTCCTTAGTCAGTGGTTTACTTTTCGTTGTCGCTTGTGACGCAGTATTACGACAAATGAGATACTCTTTGCACATTATTGCACGAAATTTGGTCTTTGGTGGTGTCTTCTCACTAAGGTGGCTCCTACAAGTCGTTAGAACACCCTCGGTAGCCCTTATGATACCTCTCAGTCCAGTCCTGGCGTCTCTGTATGTTTTGCCATATACCAACAATATAAATCCCACGTTGTGAGTTAGCTGAATTAGCTATTTAGCTAATGGTTATAATCAACCGGTGATTAAGCGCACGAGCACTGCTAAGCAACCTGCAGTAGTGACCACTCAACGCGCGGCTATGCGAGGTTGCTAATAGCTCAGTAAAAATAGCCTCGTATGNACTAACAATGAAGACAATAAAGAGTAATACTTGATTCAAAAATACATATATTATTAAATTAACTTAACAAATTGTGAACAAAATTAACATTGCTTTTTAATAAAAAGCAATGTTAATTTTGTTCACAATTTGTTAAGTTAATTTAATAATATATGTATTTTTGAATCAAGTATTACTCTTTATTGTCTTCATTGTTAGTTTCAACATGCCTGAAACAACCTCAAGCTAAATCTAAAAGTTGATGGCAAAATAAGAGCATTTGAGAAATTGTGAAAGGCATAATAGTCCGAATAGTCGGTTCATCGTTTCATTAATCGATAGATTAATCGATTATCAAATTAGTCGTTTGTTGCAGCCCTAAGGAAAGTAAATGAAGCTGGAATCACGATTTGATTTGGCTGTTTTGCTTGAAAGATTAGTTAGTTATTTAAACTGTTTGTGTCCATCAACAAATACATTAATCAACTAATTTGTAAAGCATTATTTGTAGAGAAAAGCCTGGGAATGGTAGAAAGTAAAACAACAGTGGGATATCTTTTTGAATCATGTAAAAATGGTTGATATATTTGTCGTTTTTAAACTGCCATCCATAAGCACTGCCGTGGGGTCATGACTCACAAAGACGCAAACACTTAATAAGAGAAGGCTTTGAAGTCGTGAGGAGCAGAAAGGTCACTTCTTTCTTATTGAATTGGGCACTCTGATCCTGGAGGAAAACTCTCCTCTTAACATCTGATATGAATACAAAGCAAAACATCATTTCCATAAAGTTATTCTTATTAAAAGGCCAAAAGAAGATTCCTTCAACATGAGAGCTGAAAAATAACTCATCCAGGAGAGACGTAGATGCCACTCGTTATGTTGCTGCCCATGTGACTCGGCTTCATATTGTCTCAGAGCCTTATTACTAATACACAGTAATGCCACCACACGAGCATCAATTACTCATCCCGTGAACTAACAGATTTTCAAAAGGACCTCACAGCAGCTGCCCCGTTGTTTCCATGGAGCGTGACACTGCGTATTATATCGCTTCCTAATACACGAGGCACCTTTGAGACCTTTTTATCCAGCATCCGTTACTGCCCTGTGTGAACTGCCTATGCCGTGCACATGTACGCACAAAGCCTCATCAGGGACCATAATTATCATGTGATGATTGTAATTAGGGTTTGAGAAACACATTTTCATAAAGAGTCACGTAATGATGCCACTGAAAGCCAGTAATACAGTCTCACAGGATGATCATCTTTCAGGCTAGATCTGATTTTAAAAAACATTGATGTAGCACCAATTATCTCTAATCATGGTCAATGATGTCTTATACATAAAAGAAGACTGCGGAGAAGGTCATTTGCTCCTCATCTGAGTCATCTTCCTTAACAAACCTGGATCAGTGACTTGGGTCAATTATGTAATCACTCCTGTCATTAACCAGATCTTGTCTAAAGACTGTACCCTCTTAAGACGTACTCACTGCCTCTCTAGTTGCCTCTGAAGTAAGTTAGGGGGAATAATAATGAGCCACATTAAAAGTGCAGCTTGTAAAATGTTTGGAATTTTAGCAAAATAGGATTTTTCTTGACACCACCTGCCAGAAATGCATCGTAGGTTGATGCTGCTATTACACAAGTACTTGGTCACCACCTGCTGGTGTGTCAGATGCATTAAAGACCACTTACAGTTCCACATATTAGATCACATTAGTATCACATCCATATTAATTGACTTCAAGAATAAATACAAAGGAATTGGTTGGCAACACCGTATTGGTAATCGATCAAGCCAGGAACAAGGAGTTCAAAGAGAAAGATAAGAAGGATTGAATTCTTACCAGAGTGACGGTTAGACTGAGAACTCTTCCTTTGCAGTCCACAAACAAAACACTGTCTTCGTACCAAGGGTCTAAGTGGAGGTAATTGTACATGCCAAAAGCACGCATATGTTCCAGGGTGTACTGAGTATCCTTCAACTTCACCTCCTCCACGGCTGCAGAACAGATAAAAAGAGAAGGTTAGAAAAAGGCATCACAGGATCATATCATATTTTTGTTATTAATAAAGTGTTGTGCATGTGAGACTACTATAAGTATATACTCCATCCTTTTAAATGTATGCTTTACATCTAATAACCAAAAACTCTGGTTCCCATACTAATCATTGTAGGCTTTATTTTGTGGTTAACTGGCTGTTATCAAGTCTTTGTAAACTTCTACTGTATATTTTGTTTACAAGGTTATTCTGGGTATATCAAGCAAAAAAAAAAACATTGCGATTTGGAAAGCAAATTAAATTGAATGACCTCGTCCCATTTGAAACTGTAAAGCCAGGAAATAAATCTGTTTCTTTGTTTTGTGTGAATTTAATGTGTAAACATTACCGGCATAACACTCTACCATTACTTTATTATCTGATTACATTTATGAATATGATTATTTCACTATAGCTTTTCACTTTTAGTGTTTTGAATAGTAAAGTGTTAGTACAATTGTAGAAAATGTAGTATTCTGCAAGTAGTGAACATACTGGATGAGTATAACTTGGATTAACCTGCATGTGTGGAGTGAGTTGTGTTGCATGTCCTGGATGTTTTTGATAGTATAAAACATGAACTTATGTTTGTGAGTCAAAAATTGTTCTCATAAAAAATATTTGAAGTAAATAAAAATAATGATGTTAATATTTATACACTTTTGAATGATGATGTGACACTTCTACACATTTTCTTAGGGAGACTGAACCCAATAGCATAAAGTATAATTGGAGCAAAATTACTACAGCTACTAATATTATAATTAGCTTTCAATATTATAAATAAGCATTAAAAACCTACTTTTCAAAATTATTAACAACCTGTTAATTCATATAACTGAACTTGTTACTAAGGTTAGCTATCACAGTGTGGCATCCTTAGTGCTAAGCTAGCTGGCACCGTTGCTAACTGTCTGTTAAGTGTCTCTCACCAGCATCCAGCTCAACGTTGTACGTCGGTATGGAGTCCAGAGATAACCTGTAGCTCTCAAAGTTGGGGTCCAACAGCTCCCTGTTCACCTTCAAGGAATAATTTGACGCAGCCATATCTATTTTATATGACTAGTGTGTGCATAAGTTGATATGAAGCAAGAAAAATACTGTTGCAGAACACGTTTCCTGTTTGGCAGACCCGGAGCCATTTCGCAGCGGACACAAAATGCCCTGTTGCTCATGGGAGTTTGAGTTCTTGTATTTCTCTAAAAGGGTTTTAATAAGTGATTTGATAACTATAGTTGTCCTAAAAAAATGTATTCATTTGTTATTAAAGTGAGCTATTTTCTACATGCTGTGTTTTTATAAGTAGTGACGTTGTTTGCTAAAAATAATTAACAGCCAAAGCGGAACCGTTACACTACTGAGGGTGTTTTAGTCGGTATGGTTTTGTGAAGGGACTGTGTGTTCCCCAGCTGATACATCTCGACATAAGGTAACGTTTACTTTATAGCTGGTGAAATACAGATGGTTTCGTAGCTAAATTCCCATGAAGTAGTTGCACTTAAACGGAAATTCTAACTGTGTGTGTTCGGCTTTGACAGACCATGAGCAAAGACTCCCAGATGAGGGCTGCAATAAACCAGAAGCTGATAGAAATGGGGGAACGGGAGCGGTGAGTTCAGCTGTTATCTGAGGTCGGAATAATGCTTTCAGAGACCATTTAGATATTTAAATAGTGTATACTAAATGTTGGCCGCAGGTTGAAGGAACTGCTCAGGGCAAAGCTGGTGGAGTGTGGATGGAAGGATCAGCTGAAGGCACACTGCAAAGGTATTGGATTTGTATTTGTCTTTGTGTGTGACGGTGCTTTTAATGAAGCTGCATTGCTGATGAATTATTTTGTGCAGATGTGATCAAAGAAAAGGGCCTTGAGCATGTCACAGTGGAGGATCTGGTTACAGAAGTCACACCAAAAGGCAGAGGTATGTGCAAACCTTTATATATACAGTCTATGGTGCAAACACAACAGCAGGGGGTGGAAGATGCACACAAATACAAACCATACTCAAGTTGTGCTGCCAAGGGTGTAACTTTGGTTTGAGAAGTGGGGGGGACACAAAACAGAGGCTCCTCCGCAATGAATTCCATTTCCTGCCTTTCTACAAATAACTAATCCAAGACAAATGTGTAGTGTAATGAGTGCGCAAATGTATCTAGTATCCTATCCATGTGAGCCTATTTTATTTGTGATGACCTCACATCCTCGAGGGTGGGGGGGCTTCTAATCTCTGTTAGCTCCGAGCTAGCACCAGATGCTAACAACAACCCCCGTAACTCTCTCTGTCTCTCTCTCTCTGTATCTCTCTCTCTCTCTCTCTCTCTCTCTCTCTGTCTCTCTCTCTCTCTCTCTCTCTCTCTCTCACACAAAATGCGCTCGTGCCACGCACACACAGACGCGAAGTGAAGATGACCCCTTAAGTACAAAATAATAATAAACACATTTGAAAAGTGGGGGGGACACAAACGGGATTTTGAAAAGTGGGGGGGACATGTCCCCCCTGTCCCCAGTGGAAATTACGCCCATGTGTGCTGCTAATGTGTTCTCGTGCTCCTGGACATAGGAATACAATACAGAGAAACAATTAAAGAACATACAGTATAAGATATCAAAACAAACTGCAAGCTAAACTGATTAAAATCTAACAATGAAATAACCTTTACTTTAAGCATATGAAGTGATACTAAAGCAAGTAGATTAAACAAATAACCAAATTAAAGAAGATGGGAATATAATCTACTCAAGAAAACAAAGAGGCACGTTATGGCATCGTGAATAAAAGTCAAATTTTATTTTAAACATCAGAACTTTATTTAAATTTTGAAGGTTTCTAGAGATACAATGTTTGGGGGGAAATGTATGCAAAACACTAGATGGAATGAGATGAGGTGTGTTTAATATCTAGTGATCTCACAGAGAAATTCAAGTGATAATTAATTGGAAACAAACTAGAATACTCAATGCAGGTGTCACCATTTAAAAACCGAATGGAGCAGCCACGAGAAGCGAACATTTCACCCATTCCAAACAGCGTATAGATTCAATTATTCAAGTCAAATAACCTAAGAAATTGCGCAGGAAGAAACAGAATAGAAATAAAATAGTACAAGGTGATGTTGCAAGTGACCAATGTGCGAGTCAATGCAGAAGAGGTCAACTATATACATGTAGAATAAGATTAGCTAAAATGCTAGTCTGACACACACAATACATCTGTGCGCTGTACACATGAATGCATAGTATAAGGATAAACAGGCACTTCACAGAACTCATGCGTTCAATCGTCTTATGGCTTGTGGAAAAAACAAAAATGACATGAAGAATGATTTGATGCAGAATATGTGTGATAAAGTGAGACAGGTGGGCTCTCCTGAACTTAAAGCTCCTAAATAGATAACAATATCGGGGAAACTAAAGAGCTTAAAGAGGTTAAAATAACTAACAGTTATTTTCAACCACTGTTTTTTTTAACTGCACGGTTAAACAATTTAATTTCATAAAATAAAATATGATTTAATCAGTAAGATTGTCCAAAAAGAGCTTTTAAAATATATATATATATATATATACATATATTGTCTTTCCTACCCTGCATGCATGCCAATGTCTTTCAATCAGAGCTTCACAGTACAAAGGGTGCACAGTAAAGAACACATTGTTGAGCCATGTTTGAACAGACACTATGATATGTCAAATGAAGTTATGTTGAGACAATGTTACATTTAGAGCAATTCATGCGCGGCACAGTTGTTTTTGTGCTGCTGTACACTGACAGGTGCTGTCTGGTTTCAACACCTCTCAACATAATGCAGTCTAGTACAAAATAAACAGTGTTTTGAATTATCTTAATGCATTACTGTAGTGTACACTAATATATCCACCATTTTTCTTCCTATGCAGCACTCGTGCCAGACAGTGTGAAGAAAGAGCTCCTGCAGAGAATCCGAGCTTTCCTAGCTCAACACGCCACCTTGTGAAAGAGACGATTCCCCGTCTAGACATTTTTTTACTCTCTGTAGATCCACAATTAAAATCCAAACTGATGTTTGTTCTCATTGTGAGCAATGCTGAAGTGTTATTTTTATTTTCTATTGTGTGTTTTCATATTGATTTTAGTTTGTTATGCAGCAGTTTTGGAAAAATAATAAAGTCATGCCTATTTTGATCATTGGGGTCCTGACATTTTCTTTCTTAGAACTAAACACCTGTTTGACATGTAATTAAGGGCTTTTGAACGCATTTGAACTTGTATTCCTATTTCCTATTGTGTTTCGAGAGACAGTATAATGGATTTTGTGTTTAAAAAAAAGACTGCAGACGGAATGAGAGAAATGTCTCTCTCCCATACATGGCTGTGGGACTGTTTCAGATGTTTTGGTAAGTACTTATATTATTATAATCACACCACTGAAGAAGTGATTTTAGTGATGCTCTGCATTTCTCAAAAAGAAAAAAATATATACACTAAACAAAAATATAAACGCAACACTTTTGTTTTTGCTCCCATTTTTCATGAGATGAACTCAAAGATCTAAAACATTTTCTATTTACACAAAATAACCATTTATTTCAAATATTGCCACAATAAAAGGCCACTCTGAAACGTGCATTTTTGCTTTATTGGGGGGGTCTGGGGGGGTCCGAAAACCAGTCAGTATCTGGTGTGAGGGTTAGGGTAATGTTGTAGGGTTAGGGTAATGTTGTTAATCGAGTTGCCCATGTTGGTGGTGGGGTTATGGTATGGGCAGGCGTATGTTAGGGACGACGAACACAGGCCACTCGATTCACAACATTACCCTAATCCTAACCCTCACAACAGATACTGACTGGTTTTCGGACCCCCCCAGACCCCCCCAATAAAGCAAAACTGCACGTTTCAGAGTGGCCTTTTATTGTGGCCAGCCTAAGGCACACCTGTGCAATAATCATGCTTTCTAATCTGCATCTTGATATGCCACACCTGTGAGGTGGGATGGATTATCTATATTTGAGAGAAATGGTTATTTTGTGTATATAGAAAATGTTTTAGATCTTTGAGTTCATCTCATGAAAAATGGGAGCAAAAACAAAAGTGTTGCATTTATATTTTTGTTCAGTGTAGTAACGTTACTGGCAGTTATGTGTATATAAAAGAAGATTATATTTGTTATTCTTAATGTTTCTGCATTATTCAGTCATTTTACTGAGGCATTGGTAGAGGAAAAAAAAACATATATATATATATAGCTTTTCAGAAATAAATGATTTATGTATATAAATAATCAATAAAATATGAATTAATAATCAATACATTAATATACAATACTAGTTATTCTTACTCATAACTGCATTATTTGGTCATTTGACTGAGGTTGTGCATCTCTATGAAAGAAAAGACCGATAATGTAAAACAAACATATATAGATATATATTTAACATAAATAGCTTCTTTATGAATACATAATTGATATCTATTTGTTATTTATTTATTGATATTTTTTTATTTTAAATGAGCCAGGAAGTTTTTACATTTGGAAATCATACATTGAATGATTTTATGTTCTGAAAGTACAACATTGTCTCATTGAAAATATCTCTTGCTGAGATGGAACACGTCTCGTGCTCCTTATCAGTAGATATTGTGTTCAGCATCACAGGAAGCTCTCAGGTGACACATCACTGTCTGACCTGCTGGACCACATATCTGCCGCATGGTGATTCCAGACGTTAGAGAGGAGCTGTCAGTGTAGCGTGCGCTCCTCAGATTATACTGACGGGTATTTTTGTTTTAGTTTTTATTTAGCCATGGTGGTGAGAGCCTCCTTGTGTCTTCATACAGCAGCCCCTGTGTGTATCTGTGACATCTATGACATCTATGTGTGTGCCTGTTTGCCAACATATTAGGACACATGCACAATCCTGGTCAGAATGCTTATGGAAGAAACGGTAACCATTATTCAATTGATAGAGGAAATAATGTGCTTTAACTCCACTTCTTTATTTTACAGCTTTATTCACTTTTTTTATTTTGTATTAAAACAAACGATTAAATAATCTACTTGAGTTGAAAAAAGAAACATCAATCATTTTTGTAAACATTAAATTTCGAGATGATGATACAATACTAACAATCTCCAAATGTTATATAGTATATCACATGAGGAGGCCATGATTCTGACATATATATTCTGCTTTTCCTTTTGATGCTTTAAGTACATTTTGCTGATAATCTTCTGTACTTGTAACAATGTGAGATTTTGTCCGTATAGGATTTCTACTCATAATGGAGTATTTTTACATAAATGTGTCAGAAATTCTTTAATGACATTGCACCAGGTTCAAACTAAACATTTAAAAAACTAATACTGACAGTTATATCCATATATAAAACAAGAAATATACATACACATACATACAAACTACTACACACGCATAAATACAATTTACTTAAGTGAAGGATCTGAATTCTTCTTTGACCAAAAAAATCCCAAAATGTTGAGGTTGACTTCTCATTACAGTAGGATTATTTGTTCTCATTTAGGAAATCCAGCAATTTTAGAAGTTAGTTAAAGAAAAACATGTACCTTTTTTGCTCACAATTTAACACATGTTATTTTGGAATGTTTGTTTTGTACATAATGAATGATTTTTCTCTTTTGAATGATGCCATCAATGAATAACTCTCATCACCTTCCTCTTCTTTTCTTAACAACATGACTGATGGTTTGAGCTGACAATAAAATGACAGTAAAAGAAAGGATGACAGAAGTCCCTTTGTCTTGTTAATGGAAAGGCTTGTGGGCTGCTGCTGTTCTCACGGACGTTTCGTAAGAATATAAATGTTTCTGTGGAAGCTGCTTCTCCTACAGTGAAGGCCTGGTGATGAAAGCTGAACATCTGCTACCCCTCCTGTGTTATACTTGGGTGAAAGTACTGAAACCACTCTGTGAAAACACTCCATTTTAAGTAAAAGTACTGCATGGAAAATGGCGCTTTAATAAAAGTATTTAAGTATGATCAGGAAGATTAACTTAAAGGAGTATGAGGAGTAAAACAAATCATCGCTACATTTTTTTAAATACATATTTTAAAGCAAAAGCAGCTACTTTTTTTAGCAAGATTGCTGCTAATTCATGATCTCTTAACCCAATCATTGTTGTAGTTACTTAAATATAATGTTTGAGGGTTTAATCTATACCAAATAATCATATTTTAAAGTTTTTCCTAAGTATTGTGTGCCAAAATCTGAATAAGTCATTAGTAAATATATCCGTGAAACGAATGTAGCAGAGTAGAAAGTACAAACAGTAGAAGTTTAAAGCAGTCAAATTGTCTCTGTACTCGAGTAAATGTAGTTAATGACTTACCACTGCATTTTTGTCAACAAAAGAGTTTTCTCAGAAAATGTGGCAATTTTTAGCTTAAAGGTTTGTAATGGATGTGAAGCCATTCAAAACCTCTAAGCTCGTTACAGCTGTTAACACAAATAAGAACTACAAAATAATGTTTTTATTTGAGGAAAATAACAGGTCATCATTTACCTTATTTTTCATCTGCTATAGAGAAAGGGTTTGATAATACAGGAAATGGTATAACGCTTTCTTATGCTTTATATGAGTGTTGAAAGAGGACATAACTGAAAATAGCACAGACAAGATAACGACTGATGATTAATAGTACTGAACAAGTCTAATTTCTGTTAGTTCAGAATGACACGATTAGCTCATTATGTATTTAAAGCTCGTATTGTATGAAGCATTTCCTGTCTTTGATTTGGTTGAATTTTCTGTGTGGTTGTTGCAAAATTGTAGTTGAAATGACGAGGCTGTATCCCCGAGCTGCAGAGTGTCGTAACTCAGTTTATTGACACAGGATAGGACATGGTTTTGTTATTTAATGCAGTTTTTCCATTTAAAACATTTCTAATATAATATGTTACAGGAACTTTGTATATGTACATAAATTGTGTTGACAATGCTATATAATGTAATAACCAGTTACATACAAAGTAATATAATTGTAATCCTTAGTTTTTAATGTTGCATTTCCTAAAGTAGGGCTGGCCAGAGTCATGTGCTCTCTGGTAGTGAAGTAATACGTCACCCACAGTCCATTGGGTCATTATTAGTCTCTATTAAAGTCATTGTGATTATTCTTTCACCTTTTCTGGCAGATTCTTTCTTTTACTTCATGCATGGATCGCCTCCATTGGCCTTTATGCGTCTCAATATATCTTTATTTGAACCCTTATATATATATATA